GCTCTGTTCACTAATTATATTCTGTCAATGGTTAATCACAGATCAGATTCAAAGGCGGATGCTGAAAAGTGGCCAATATTCTCTATTAACACAGACAAATCCATAAAAGCTGGTGTAATGTTCCACTTACATTCTATTTCATTAAATCAGTAAAATTAGCATGGGGTAAAAGTATTAACACTCGAGTGACCTGAATCACACACAAAATCAATAAACTAACCTGGGGCTGGTAGCTGTAAAATGTATTATCTCATTGAGTGAGTTTGATGAATGTCTATGGAAAGAATTTAGTCATAATGGAGAGCTAGGCCAGAACGGAAAGACAGACATTAAAAAGAGAGAGAGATAAAGTTATCTCACTGGTTTTATGGGAGCTTAACTTGATGACTTTGAAACCATTAATCATTTGAGTCACTGAACAATGCTGGTGCTGTTTGGGAATGTGTGCTTTGTGGCAGAGAAGTACACAGACTGCAGCATGATAACTAGCTAACTAGCATGACTTCATCCAATTGACCAAATGGAATCATACACTAGTCAAATTTTGATGTGTTGGCTGTCTGATTGCATTAGCATTGACATTCAGACATCACTGCACTCAACGGGTTCTTCAGTCATTATAGGTTTATAGTTATTCTCTAGTTCTGTTTTCTAGCTGTTCAGACTACATGTAATAATAGGCTGGTTACCCAACACTGGGATATTTACAATGTTTTCTTTTAAATGTCATTAATCTTTAAACAAGCTCATGTAGCTTTCCTGTGCTAGACAGTGGCTATAGTCACAATTGTGGCAATGATGAGATAATGGTAAGTGCTAAAATGTATTTAAACAGTATCACAAGTAGAGAAAGAGAGTCATAAAGTCAGAAGTGACTCAGCAATGGCAGTAAGACAGCAATATAACAGTAGGTAACATTAGCCAGCATAAGCTACTAGCCACCAAAAATGTGTTGTTTTCGCCCAGGCCCGATAGATTCTTGTAGATGCCATTAGGAGCACTAGGAGGAGCCACAGGAACCTGATTGTTTCACACATTATCTGTCTCATGTTCTAGCGTCAGGATATAGTAAGTTTTAGCAAATATGACAAAACGTTATTCTTATAAAAGTTACCTAGTGCAGCTTTTATGTACACTTCTTCTAAATAAACAAATTAACAAAAGATACAATTGTGTATGAGTGTATGAACTGAGTGTTTGGTTTCAGAGGACAGTTTATCCAAAGCTTAAGCTGCTACTGAAGCTTTATATCTTATCTCACCTGAGAGAGAAAACTCCCCTTTCTGACTTTCACAGTTTCTGATGAGGAAGGCTCCGTGCTGGTTCCCTCCTGCCAACAGCATCTTCTCTGCATCCAGCCTCTTGGTGTCAGGAAAATACCATCTGCAAATCAGAGCAGAGCTGCTCAAACATAACAGCAATTTCTGAATATAAATAACAATAATAAAAAACATCATCTGTCAGGGGGCCAAAAGGTTCACTGGTAATTTGATTGAATGTAAACTGGCTTATTCATATGTCTCCACCACTAAAGCACAATATAGCACTGCAATGTTTCACCCAATCAAACATTCATACAATTTAGTGTCAAAGGAAGAGTCTGGTGATAATTCTACATTTTTGCTTTTTTAAAGAAAAACTGATTCATCTTTTCAGATCATTTTTTAAGAAAATAATTCCAACTTCTCTGATTCCAGGTTCTCAAATGGGAATATTTCCTGCCAATATCTTGGGTTGTGGACAAAATAAGACACCTGAGGACATGATCTTGGCCTTTGAGACACTGATCAACATTTTCCACAATTCTCTGACAGTTTATGAACCAAAAAATGAATTGATTAATTGAGCAAATTACCAAAAGATTAATGAAAAATGAAAATAACTGTTGCAGCCATGCTTACAAATCTCAATAGCTTTGTAATTTTAAAACCTTCTTAGGAGAAGGACGAACGTTTAAAGTAATGTATTGGCTAACTCTTGAGCATTTACAGCAATGCTTATTAATGTGCACTGTCCCTCACTAAAGATGTGGGGCCCACAAATCTGACCCCCTCCAGCAGGTTAATCTGGCCCTGTGACAGAAGCCCATGATGTATAACCAGAATCTGAGTCTGTGCTTCATCAGGTCAAATGTATCAGAGGTGAGCCAGCACAAGAAAGGAAAAACGATGCACGCAGAAGGCAGTTTGTTCCTTTTTAACAGAGGGGATGGCCCAATGGGAGCACCCTCGTGATGAGAAGACTGGCTGGTTTAAGTAACCCTTTATAAGCTATAGTTTAGAGCAGGGGGGTTCAATTAGAATTCAAAGAGTTCCAGTTAGACAAAGTTTCCTCTTGCAAAGGTCCAGAACATCATCATGTCTAACTTGCAGTATATATTGAAGTAGCTTAGTATCAGTGTATAGTAGTAGTAGTTTGTATAGTAGTCTATAACTGACTGTCAGATTAAATATAGGACAATATGGAACTGGATGGATTTGAAATAAGTACTCTAAAAATACATTTTCTGTTAACTCCATTTCACACGTTAACAGCCTCAATCAATATATGACAAACAATCTCACAAACTTTAACAAATCCTTTGTATTTCCTCAAATGTTTACACTTCATTAAGAATTGTGTTCCGTTTTAAACTAAACTGGTATCACACTCCAAAGTTAGGCGACATTTTGCCAATGGAAAAACTGCCGTGGCCATTTTCAAAGAGACCTCTGACCTGTGTACCCATAAATCTCCCCTTTGCAGACATGCCCACTCTATGCTAATCTCATGCAGTTTTTGTACAAAACTGTTTGTTATTTTCACCTAGTGTATGTGAATATTTCTGCATACTGGGGTCCATAAACAGTGTTGGAATTGCATTCTTCATGCCAAAGTCAGTGTCCCTCTTGTGCCACCCCAGTCAAAAAAGTCTGGAAACAGCCTTGCTCAGTACCAGGGAACGCAGAGTGGGGGGTGGCAGGTTCACATGGGGGATGTATGTCGGTCATTTGCTAATTCACCCTCAAACCAGCTGCTGGATGGACTGACGCATATGGGAATGGCCAGGGTTAACATTTATCAGTGAAGTCAAATGTAAACAGGGAAAAACTGAGTCCCACAGTGTGAGATTACTGTTCTAGATATGAATGTGATAAGCAGCACCATTTCACCAGGAGTTATAAAACCAGTCTGTGATTCAGTGAAACTATGACACAAATGACGCCTGCATAGCAAAGCTGATTTCATCCCTGTAAACAAAACAGGAAGGACCAGACTACAGCTGGGAAGAAACCGGTTTGGCTGAGAGTGCATCACAAACAGGGGCGGGGCCACAAACAGGGGCGGGGCCACAACCCGGCTCCACAGCAGTGCTCGCTTTGTAATGATCGGCATCACTGAAAACAACATGAAGCTGTCGACATATATTTAATGGTGTATTGAGGTTTGTTGCAGTAGCAGTTTTTGTAGTCAGGGCCAGCTAGAAAGTTTGATGTTTGGCTAAAAATATACATTTTCATATAAGATTAGACTATTATCATTACAATAGTTGTTGTTCACATTACACTTAAACAGTAGCAAGAAATAAGGTCCTGAACTGGATCCAAATGTATTTATTTATTTCTATTTTAAAAAGGAATAATATTGACTTACATTTTAGATCATCTAGAAACAATATTTAGTCATGACAAACACACACACACATCAGTAAGTACACTATCAGTCCTTCCTCTTGTCCTCTCTGATCCCTGTCAGTAGTTTAACCCTATCTACAGTTGCCAGCAAGGGCATTGTAATGCCTTGTTGAGGTTTTTTGTTTTTGAGCCTCTCTCTCATGGGAATTATTAACTTGTACTTGAGCCTGCAGTTCCTGCTCACAGACAATAATTAACTAACCTAAGACTTGTCTCTGTAGACATTATCCAGCAGCTCTAATGACAGAAAGCATGTCCTGCTTTATCGTTTTACAGTGTCCCATCTCTGTGAAACGGTTTGGTTTCTCTCTTTCTTTTCTTTTTGAAAATGGATCTGAGTATGATGAATGCACACCCTAACACTCTGGTTGGAGTTACTAAGTGTGTTGTCCCATTTTGTATTTGATCCATTTCCATACCAGGATGTTGATTTATTTTGTCGGTTCTTATTTGCCTCCGTTATCTTTTGAGTGTCAGCTCTGCTACTTTCTGCTAGAACTCCTTCACAGAAGAGATGGCTTCTATTGTAAGCTCCATGAGAATGACTGCTGTTGACACAACTCAAAAAAAGATTTTACAGTGAATATAAATAACAATTTCATTTAGTTTTCTTCACAGAAATAAATGAAATGCTGAGATACAGACCAACTGTATGTTTTTAAAAAAGTTCTTCATTCAAATAAAAAATAACTAATTTATTCACATGTCATTGATCAAATGATTATGTAAGTATGCATTCAAATGTGCAGCCTATAATATTAAGTACTAATGCTGAAATAACAGTTTGGACATCTTTTCAGAAATATAATAAATATTACATTTATTTATATTTATATTATGTCCCTAAGTAAGGGATAGGCGATGATGATGATGATGATGATGATGATGGGATTGTACTTACGGTTCTGCATCGATACTCTCCACAGGTGCCACATAATTAGCCGGGATGTACCCCTGTTTGGAGGCCGAGACCCCGTCGAGGGCTCTGGCGAACCACCATTCACCAGCACTTTTGTCCAGAGCCTCTAAAGTGTCCCCGGCGTTAAAGCTCAGGTCCTCCTCGGTGCGGGCCGAGTAGTCATACAGGGCGATGTAACAAGCCCCGGTTCTCTCCACCGGCAGCGGCGGTAAGGACCTGTTAGACGGAAAGCCAGCCTCCACAGTTTTCGCACCGGGATTTGAAATAACCGTGTCGGTCTTCTGGCGCCCGGTGTCGCCTCCAGACTGGTTGGGTTTTTTGAAACATGCCAAAAAACTCTCCCAACACGAAGAAAACCTCTTCTGGATCTCCATGTTGCGCTCGTCAATCACAGCAGGTCATTCTGAGTCAGGAATGAAGACGGAAATAGTTTGGGAGAACCCCTTCTTCTTCACCTGCCTTATAATCCACATTCCGTGGAATACAGAGTCATTTTAATAATCCCGGACCGGACAGCTCCTGGTCTTTGACCCGCAGCACACGCCCAGCTCATTAACACACTGAGGGAAGTGACTGAGAGTTAAACGTGAAGTTTCCTGGAACGGGACTCAGTCAGGAGTTGACGGCTCGTGCAGCGGTGTGCCAATCACCTGCACCTGCTGAGGAATGGGGAGCGGCCCGCGCCACATGACGTCATGTGCTCTCAGGGCGGCCATATTGGAGGAGAGCGCTTGTGAGCTAAACACAGCTGATCACACAGGAAGAAATGTGTCATGATTCTCTCTTTTCATACTTTTTAGGCAAAGGCGTAACTAGTGTTTGGCTAGTGAGTAAAAAATATATTATTCATTACTCAAATATTACATTAGTAATATTATTACTTTACTTTTATTACTCCCTGCCAACAATAGACTAATTAGTTACACTACTACCAGTAGTTATATTACTTTTCTTCTTCTCCCCACAGAATTGGTAATTGTCTCCCTTCTCCCCAAGATTCAAAGTTCCCACGAATAAAATCCAGTATTGTTTGTTAAAATCACTGACAGTATATAGGGTGGACAGAGCTTCCGGGTCTGTGAAGTAAAGCCAAAGCGTAAGTCTTACATTCTTTGTAGTGGCCAGCAGGGGGAGCTCCATTGGCTGCAATAACAACCGATACCATACAGTCTTATGGAGAAATGACGCTACTTCTGGCTTTTTAGCTCAGTAAACAGTTTCCTAATGAGTGCCACCCCAGTCAAAAAAGTTTGGAAACGCCCCTGGTGTTAGTGTGTATCATACTAATAAAGAGGTCTGAAAAAAAAACGGATTTACCCTATACTCAACAATTATATAATAAACATGACAAAGGTAAGCTTATTAGAGAAAAAAGAAGCCCTGTTAAGTCCCCGGAGTCAAGGGTGCCATCATCTTGCAGCACTCTGACCCCTAACGTCACACGGCCGGTTGTTTTGGCTTCCACGGACACAACAGAGATAGCGAAAGATGGAGACACTGAAAGATGGAGACTATAGAGCCACAGGACAGAAGAAGACAAAAGGGAGGCCACTATTGTATTGCTCCTGGGTGTGAAAATTAGTTTTACAGGGTGAAAGCCAAAGGGTGCAGATTTTCTCAGTGTTGATAGACCCACAGGTTGTGAGTTCAATCCCTGCTGAGGGCAGCACTCAGTAGAGATGAAAGTGAGGCTGACAACACGGTTCTTCTGATAAAGCCCCACTCCCTCTCTCTCTCACATTTCACCATGACTGTTCCTCTATGATTATAGGAGTTTTAAACTTGAACTTTTTTCTTTTTAAGTGTTAGTCACATCAACCCTTCAGGTTTCATTCACAATGAAAACCTGCCCTTATGTCACAAACACAAACAATCAATCCAAAAACAACATAACACTGATACACTGATGTTGTTGCCTTTATTTTGAGAAGGTGTGAGGAAAACTGCCATCTCAGTGGCTCAGAGTATCTGCTCTGGGCCTTCAAAGGTCCTTCAAAGGTCCAGAGTCAATGTGGCGATTATGTGCTTGGACCTCATTCATTACCGCTTGTGGCTATATTTGGGGTCGGTTAATAAGAAAATAAAGTTTTGTGACAGTAAGTCATATTTGTGCTTATTAAGTCACAATTATGAGATAATAAATCAAATGATAGATTAACTAATAGGGGGCCCTTGGGGTGAACATAGGGGCCACAACATACAGTGACAATGCAGGACCTGTTGTGGATGTTGTAGACCTACTTTAAAGGAGGAGTGTCAGGCCATTGCAGAGAAGGAATTGTGGCTCCACAGTGTGGTGTGGGGCATTACTACCATTTTTGTTTTTTTTGCTAATTATGTTTCAGTAACATGAAGAACTGTAGTCACTTTTGGCAAGTGTAAAACTGCATGTTATGGGTTGTTTTGGCCCTTTAAAGATATTTCAACTGCCCAATTTGCAGTGCTTGCTAGCTTTGGTAAAATGGCAATTGATATTAAGTCAACATTTTGACTTAAAATCACAAGATAGGTAGTTGGTTTACAATGGGTTTATCAGAGCTTTTTCACTACTTCAAGTACACTATAGGCTCTGTAACAGAAAATATATACATATACAGTATATATATATATAATAAAGATACTAAATAAGACATAAATGATGAATGGTATATAAGGCATTTAAATATGAAAACACACTAATTCTAATTTAGTGGACCTACTGTCACCACTTAAATTAATGCATGGTCGCAAGATAAAACTTCTAATTTATTGATTTACTTAAACCTTTTTAAGTTGCAAACATTATGAATTGTGTTAAAATAAATAATGTGGTAAACTAGCTGAAATAAGTAATTTTTTTAGTAGAGTAGCCTAGTCAACTTAGAAAAATTGTGTTTATGCTACCAATTATGAAGTAAGTGGTAATTAAAAGCACCTTTGATTTTAGAGGAAAAGCTAATAAACAAAGTAATAATAAATAATAATAAAAACAAAGGTATAAAAGCAGTAAGGGGTGCAGACAATCAGTAATCCCATATTGCTTGCCTCCTGTTAAAAAGTCATGAGACTTAACCAATATGGTCAATTTGCTAAAAAGATGCCTTTGAAAATTGCAAAGTTGGGTGATAATTGTGGGTTCATCACAGTTTAGTGTTACATTACATATTCAAGGATTTCAGGTTATTTTACATGCACAGTTGTAGAATGACATTTATATAAAGTTCCCTTTATGCATGAATAAATAAAACTGTATTAATAAGTCATAAAAACAAAAAAAATTACTAATTGGTATGATGAATTGTTGAGGACGAATTTAACAGTCTCTCGGGGAAGCAGCTGTTTTAAGTCTGGTGGTATGGCAGCAGAAGCTTCTGTATCTCTTCCCAGAATGCAGTAGGGTGAAAAGGTTGTGGCTGGACTGGGTGCTGTCTTTTAGTATCTTTGTGCTCAATGCTAACCCATTGTTCGTTTAAAAATAAAAAAATATTTTCTCTTTAAAGCTTCTAAAAGGAACTCATTCTGCCTGTCCCTGAGGACAAAGGTAGTAGTGTTTCTACCGCCGCCCTGGTGGCATTAAGAGTAACTACATAGAAACATGTGCGAAATATACCGTGGCTTTCAGGGAGCTCACTTTTTCTACTGTTTCTACTGATATTTTCTGACCAGAAGTTGATATTGTGCTGCCACACTTCAAAAATAGTGGCAGAAATAGCAGTATCTTTTTAAAAGTAATTTAGTGATGAGTCACCCTCTGAGGCAGAGCGGGTCGTCTACTAATCCGAGGGTTGTTGGTTCGATCCCCGGCTCCTTCTGCCACACGTTGAAGTATCCTTGAGCAAGATACTGAACCCCAAATTGGTGTGTGAATGTGTATGAATGAGTTAGTTTCTATTCGATGGACTTTGCCATC